GTTTTGCTGGATAGAAGATTCTTGGTTGGCATCCATTTTCTTTCAAAAGCTTGGTATATATTGTTCCATGATTTCCTGGCTTTGAGGATCTGGCTTGAAAAATCTGCTGATACACATTGGTCTTCCCCTATATGTGATCTAATTCCTCTCTCTTGTGGCTTTTAAGATTCTATCCTTATTCTGTATACTAGACAATTTCATTATAATGTGCCTTGGTGTAGATCTGTTGCAATTTGTACATTTGGTTTCCTGTAAGGCTCTTATATTTGGTTTTCCAATTCGTTCTTCATGCTTGGGAAATTTTCTGATATTATCTCAATGAAGAGATTGTGCATTTCCTTGGTTTGAAACTCTGTGCCTTCCTCTATCCCAATAACTCTAAGATTTGGTCTTTTGATGCTGTCCCATAATTTTTGGATGTTCTATTCATGGTTTCTTACTGTCTTCACTGTGTGATCAACTTTAATTTCCAGATTGTAAACTTTGTCTTCATTATCTGACATTCTTTCTTCTAAGTGATCTAGTCTGTTGGTTATGCTTTCTATTGAGATTTTTATTTGATTTACTATATCCTTCATTTCAAGGATTTCTGATTATTATTATTTTTTCAGAGTCTCTATCTCTTTCTTGAAGTAATCCTTTGCTACCTGTATTTGTGCTCTTATCTTCTTGTTGGAGTAATCACTTTTTACCTGTATTTGCTCATTTAGGTCATTCTTTAATTCATAGATCATTTTAATTATGAACCTTCTGAACTCCTGTTCCTGGGTTCTGTTATTGTAGTATCCTGGTTTGTTTGGGACACTTTACTCCCTTGTTTTTTCATGTTGTCTAGGTGTCTTCCTTTCTTGCAGTGTGCATCCTGGACCTGTGCAAGTCGGTGAGGGCAGATCTGGTCCAGGCCTGAGCTCCTGCAGTAGTCTGCTGGTTGAAAGGGGTAGTCCCATGCCAGAGGCTGGGCCCCAGAGGGTGTCTTCCAGTGGCAGGATGGACCAGGGCCTACTGTCTCCTTATCAATCTCTTTAGCCTACTTGATCCTCAAATTTTGGGAGAAATCTGAGGATTCTATCCTAAGGTCTCTTCTACTGTCATTCTAATTTGGTTCCCTTGGGTGATCACATTTACTCCTTAAAGCATCTACTATATGTATATCTAATGACTCTCATATCTATATCTGTAGTCGAAACTTTGTTCCCCAGGCTACAATCATGAATCTAACTCTTTACTAGTTTTCTCTATTTGAAAGTCTGTGCAACATCTTGTTCTGTGTAAAACTGAACTCATCTTTATTTCCAAACCTCATTTTAATCTAGTGTTCCTACCTCAGTATGTGTTTATATCCATCCAACTACTCAAGTCAAAATCTGGTAGTAATTTTTTTCTCATTTCTTATTCTTCATCCAATCACCAACTCAAGAAAATTCTTTTATTTTTAGTAGTGGGGACTGAACCCAGAGGTATTTTACCATTGATCTACATTCCTAGTCCTTTTTATTTTTTGATACAGCTAAGCCACTGAGGGTCTTGCTAAGATGCTGAGATTGGCCTTGAAGTTGTGGCTTTGAACTCCAGCCTCTTGAGTTGCCACCATGCTTAGCTCTCAGAAAATTCTTGAATTAATCCACTTCTTTTCATCATTGCTCTACCACCATAGTTTAAGCTATCATTCTCTCTATCCCGAATAACTTCCACAGTCTCTTAACAAGTGATTAGTAATGGAATCACCATTCTGAATTCATAGAGATCTTTTAAACACAACTGCCCTCAGGTGAAAATCTAAAATTTTAACATGGTTTGAGATAACCAGTGTCTAGCTTTGTAACTTGTTTCCATCATTTCCTTCCTTATTTTCTGCTCTACCCAGACTTACTTTAGTTCCTTAATAAATCAATTTCTCTCTTATCACCAGGCTTTCAAATATGATATTGTTTCCTCTGCTTAGCATATTTACTCTTACTCTCGTCAACTAATTCCAATTTATCCTTCAGATTTTCAGCAAAAATATCACTTTTATATGCCTTCATAATACCCTATATTTCCATTCCATAAAGATTATCACACATTGACATTATGTGTTGGTATTTCTGAATTTCCTCTGAGGCTATACCATAAAGAGAGGGATAGTGTTAGTCTCATACACCACTGAATTTCCTCTGCAGCTACACCATGAAGAGAGGGATAGTGTTAGTCTCATAAACCACTGTACCACCAACTAATTGGTAGAAGGCTTTGCATCTGAAGAACTATATAGAGTGATAATATCATTAAAGAGACAGTGAGAATTCTGAAAGTAGGGGGAATCTGGGAAGCCCAGCAAAGAGGTATGAAAGTAAAAAGAGTTGCATATTAAAATTATCAGTGAGAGATGAATTGGGGAATCAAGGAGTATCTAATTCACACTGATGCTATAAATTTTAATGCTTTTTGAATCTTTAAGAAATTAAATTCTTTTTAAAAAAATATTTATTTATTTGTTTTTAGTTGTAGTTGGACATAATACCTTTATTCCATTCATTTATTTTTATGTGGTGCTGAGGCTTGAACACAGGGCCCCTCGCATGCTAGGTGAGTGCTCTACCACTGAGCCACAATCCCAGCCCCAAGAAATTAAATTCTTATTTACTAATTCCAAGTCTGCAAATGATAGCTCAAATGAGGGGGGGGGGTATGGAAATCCATGTATAGCTAGTTTATTTACTGTTTTCAATTAAAGTCAATTTAACATTCAACAAAGTATTCTTTAGGTACTTACCATAGACAGGACTATATGACATACTAGGCAAAACAGAAACTAAGATGTCTAATGACTATTTCTATTAAGCACTTACATAGAAATGATGGTGCACACTAAAAATTAAATAAGAGAGGAGGCTGTAGAAGTAGTTCACCTGGATTTAAATCCTGGTTCCACTACTTATTAAGCTATATGATCTTGGGCAAATTACGTCTTAGTCCCTTATTTTACAAATGAGAACATTAATAATTGTACCTACTACTATGGACAATTTTGAGTAATTAGAAAAGTTAATATGGAAATTATTTGTCCTAATATTTGGCATACGATGAGTACACCAAGTGAATGTTAGTAATGATATTTATAAAGTATAATTTAAAACTTCAGAACATTAAGTAGAAAATTCTCTTTAATAAAAATGAATCAATTAACATGCAAGCTTCAGTTATGGATTTTTGCCAAAACTGAAGGTAGTGATAAAAGGGAAATAAAGGCATAAAGTGAAATAAATAGACTGATTCAGAGATACACAGAAACAAACAAATTATAAAAGGAGGAGAACACATAAAGAGAGACCCTGGTGCAAAAAATACTTGTGTTATATATAGCCATAAAGAGGTATCTGTCAATGAGCAGTAAGTCCCTCATCCTGATTTACAAATTGTGGTTACATATAGTACATCCAAAATAACTTTACTATTTTCATAGAAGGTAAGCATATTTATGGGTAGTCCTACACATAATTACATAAGAATTTTTTTTTTTTTTAATACCAGGGATTGAACTTAGGGGCATTCGACCAGCCACATTCCTCAGCCCTATTTTTTGTATTTTATTTAGAGACAGGGTCTCACTGAGTTGGCTTAGCACCTTGGCATTCCTGAGGCTGGCTTTGAACTCTGTCTCAGCCTCTCAAGCTGCTGGGATTTCAGGCATGCACCACCATGCCTGGCAAGAAGTGATACTTCTGAAAAAGTATTGGAAAGGATAAATTTCCAATGAGAATTTCAACTTACTTTTTAAAAATGATTTACATTCTGTCAATGATAAGCATTAAATAGAGAAACTTCAAAAATGACCAAATGGATTTCTAAGGAATCTCTTTTATGAAAAATCATATATACATATGCTATGGATAAATTTTTTCTTTTTGTCCAAAGTAATGTTTTTGTTTTTTTGTTTTTTAAGAGAGAGAGAGAGAGAGAGAGAGAGAGAGAGAGAGAGGAGAATCTTTTTTTTTTTTTTTTTTTTTTTTAGATGGACACAACACATTGCCTTTTTTTATTTTTATGTGGTGCTGAGAATCGAACCCAGGTCGCGCCCATGCTAGGCGAGCGCTCTACCACTGAACCACAATCTCAGCCCCCAAAGTAATGTTCTTGAAAACTTTATTTCCTAGGAAACTGATAATGTCAATATATGGCCTATAAGAAGATCAAACTCTCATACAGAAACTAAGATCTAGTGAGAAGAGAAAGCACCTCTTCATTTCTGGGATGTGGGGGGGGGCATATCTGACTTTAAACTCAGTTAACCTCTTAAAAATTAGAGGCACCAAACTAGAAAGGAGATCACATTAAGAAGAAATAACTATACTGTGGTGTAGATATAAAGTAGACAATAAAAGGTTAATGGCTTGGAGATTTAAAAATTTTTAATTTTGATTATTTTAATTGTTCAAATTTATGGGTTATAGTATAATAATTTGATACATACATACAGTGTGTAAGAATCAAATCAGAGTAGTAAACATTTCCATATCTTATAACGCTTAAAAATTTGTCTATTAGCAATAATTATATATATAATCATATATTTAAATTTTTTTTAGTTGTAGATGAACAACATGCCTTTATTTTATTTATTTATTTTTATATGGAACTGAAGATGGAATCCAGTGCCTCACATGTGCTAGGCAAGCACTCTACCATTGAGCTACAGCCCCAGCCCTAATAATTATATTTTTATGGGTATAGTATGATATTAAAATACATGTATAAACCATATGTGCTGAAAAAGGAAAAAAGAACTAATCCTAGAAAGAACTAGGATTAAGAAAAATATCGACAAGTTATGTTATGTATATTAAAGCACAATTTTTTAAAAAAGCAAGAACTGACAACTACATGTAGAGTAAGCATAGTTCATATAATTAACTTTTGTTGCTAAACTACTTTAACTAAATTGAGAGAGTGAATCAGAAAGTAAACTCTAAAGCCATGTTAAACATTTATTTTCAAATATTAGGTTGCAAACACTTTCTTACCTCAAAATCATCATCGTCTCCTTCAGTGTAATGTGCATGATTATCTGGATTGTTTACTTTGTCCAATAGTTCAATTGCCAGGGCCCTGGAGAGACCTGGCTGTCCAACAAAAGTATGCTAAGTAAAAATGAAACAAAATAATTTCATGAATATGCCTTTATGGCTTATAGAAAATGTTATTTGTAGTCTTTCATTCAATAACTAGCATAGACGAGCATAGGCATCTACTAATACAAATATTAGTAAAAACATTAATCAGCGAATGAATTGTTAATTATATAACTAAAAAAAATTGGGGGTAAGCTTAGAACATAAATAATTTCTCTATGTAAAGTTGTCTAACCTATGATAGGTGGTAAGATTACATCTTCAACTATAACAAGGACATTTATTACTCATAACACTGATATGAAAGTGAATACCACAATATGTTACATCAATCACAGTAAGAATAAAGCATATATACTTTACATTTGCATATATTTAATCCAGTTAAATTATAAAGATTTCTTAGGTTGTTTAATTACTATCACTTTTTCTCATTCAAAAGTATTTTACACATATATAAACTCAAAGAACACACTATAAATTCACATAAGCAGCTAAGAAATGCAGTTAATTTTAGATGATGGCAACATTTATGAGTTTTCTCTAAGGCGGGGGTCAGTAAACTATAGTGCAAGGGCAAAATCTGGTATACTGCCTCTTTCTCTAAATACAGTTTTATTGAGTATTAAAAATATTCTCATACATGTGTACTATATACTGATTCTTTTATGCTACAATGGCAAAAGTAAGCAGTTGTGACAGAGACTCACTGCCTACAATATTTGAAATATTTTCTATCTTCTCCCTTACAGAAAGTTTGCTGACTCCTGTTGTAAGAGATAACTTACAGTTTTATATTAAAAACCTAAGTATTTTTGTTCTATTGAAATGTCTAATTACTGCATGACTACCAGAAATCCCTTCACAATTCCAATGACTTACTGTTAGAAGTCTTTCAGCAGTTGGTCTTTTTTTGGGGTTTTTAGTTAGTGCTATTTTGACAAAATTATGGAACGTTGATGACCTTCAAATAAAAGAGACATGACAAAAATATCTTACTAATATTATTAGATTGTTGGTGTTACTAAATAAAATAAACTAAGAAGCAGTATAGAAGTCTGAAACATGGGGTTTTTTTTCCTTACGTTTCTCAGTTCTACATAAACCAAAAAACTAAACCCAAAGCACAGTCTATTCCTTAGAAACATCTGGGTCAGTTTTGTATCTTAGGTACAATGGAATTAGGTAACAGAGCAGTAATATACAACCCATACAAATCAGAACAGGAAGAAACCAGTGTCAATTAGGTAGGCTGTGTCATTTATATAATTTATGTTCTGCTTAGAAGTAAAAACATACTTTTCTTATTGCCTAATTTATACAGTATTTACATTATACTATACCAAAAAGTTTTGCTATTCCAAAAGAGTTGATGGCACAAAGGGTAGGGTACATAATGTAAGTGACTATATAAATCCTAAAAAGGCTACTTAATTTCTTAGAAGAGAGGATAAATAAGGAGTGATTTTAGCAACTGGAAAGATTTTCCCGCTATATGCATTGATGAAGTGGGGAAAGGAAGAAGATACAAATTAGAAGAATCATGTTTTGATTATTCATGAAAAAGAGGAGTGTTTTCAACACTGCCAAGATTCTACTGGGAGATACTGGACAAGAACCAAAGAAACCAAGTAACTTCAGTGACTAGCAATGACAACAATCACATGGCAATTCTCAGTAGAGGAATCAAATCACTGCACTGCAACTGGTGGCTTCTGACAGAGATAAACATGGAGTCAGGTGGATCATAGAGTGGCAAAGGTTCTCCAGTGGTAATGACTAATCTGGAATTTGTACCTAATAGTCATTTGTTCCTGAATAAACATTCAGTCATWTTTGCATAAAGCCCTCATTTCCCAGATGGTTAGAAACTTTGGACAATAAGGAACAGGAAGAAACCAGTGTCAGTATAAAGGAATACAACTAGTAGGAGGATATAAACTCCTTTGTTTCAATAGTGTAATTTGCCTTTCATTCCTGCCATGATCCCAATACTGTCCTGGCTCCTAAATAAAACTAACAGTTAAAAATCTACTTGCGGGAGGGGTCTTAAATCTGAAATGAGCTACCAACTGTCTCACCAGAAAAACAAAATTTATGGGGCTGTGGTTGTAGCTCAGTGGAAGAGCACTTGCCTGGCACGTGTGAGGCTCTGGGTTCAATCCTCAGCACCATATATATATATAAATAAATAAAAATGAAATAAAATAAAATGTATTGTATCTATTTATAACTACAATAACTAAATAAATAGATAGATAGATAAAATTTATATAACAGAATCAGGAAGCTCACAGACCTCAAGAAATCCATGTAATCTGGATGAAGAACTCCCGAATTTATGAAATTAGAAACTTGTTTGCCTGGTTAATTTTATAAAATGTGGAAAAGCTAATACCAAAAAAATAATTTTCAACTTTCACCATTTAACTAATGATACTCTTAAGAACTATAATTCCAGGCAAGCTGCCTTACTTTATAATAGAAAGGAGAGATTAGGAAGAAAATAAGTAATAACTTCTTCAAGTTTTTTTTTAAATATTTTTTTAGTTGTCAATCAATCTTTTATTTATTTATTTATTTACTTGTTTGTTTATATGTGGTGCTGAGGATTGAACCCACGGCCTCACACATGCCAGTGCAAGTGCTCTACTACTGAGCCACAGCCACAGCCCCTTCTTCAAGTTTTATAAAAGGAAAAACCAAGAGAAACTGACTGTAAGTGTCAACAGCATCTGGGAAATCTTTTCAAACATCATCATCCATGCAAGTCAATATATAATTAATGGATGTAAAATAATACAGATCAAAAATCTTCATATATTAATTTCAAATCCTTTCCTCACCATGCCTCTTTCTCAAGCTGCCAAGTTAAGAGAAACAAAGTTTAACAAAAGCAGCGGATTACAAAAGAACACTGAGTGGAAAATAAACCTAGATTCTTACCGTAACTGTGCAAGTAAATTAGGATGTAACTCTGGGCAAACTGCTTAATACCTCTGGGCTTTGGTTTCATCATCTATAAAATAAAGGAACTATGTTCCTTCCCACTGTAAAATTCTATGAAACCATGTATTCATTAACTCACCACTTTGTTTTGTCCTTTAGTTTTGGAGGCTGAAAATTACTTTTTGACATTAAGAAGAGAGCCCTGAAACAAAAAAAATTTTAGTTAAAAGCAACACCAAGTACTTTTATTACTACAGCTAATAATCAATATATATTATGTAATGAATTTATACAAGACTACTATATATGTAGGCACTGAATAAAATTGTTTTGAGATAGGGAAATCAAATTTTTAATATTTTGGATAGCATATGCAAAATTTCTCCTACCTATAGAAAATATCTTTAAATTTCAAATAAGCCCTTATTCACAGAGCAAAGTTACCAAATGTTAGAAGTTTTACTACCATGATACCTATATAAATAGTAGTATATATTTTTTAATTTTTTTACTTTTTAGTTGTAGTTGGACACAACACCTTTATTTCACTTGTTTATTTTTTAATGTGGTGCTAAAGATCGAACCCAGGGTCTCGCATGTTCGAGGCAAGTGCTCTACCGCTGAGCCACAACTCCAGCCCTTGTAGTATATCTTAAGCACATGTCTATATAATTACATATAATTCTATAACACATACATATTTTTGAATTAATTTTTAAATTTACATGATAGCGAAATGCATTACAATTCATATTACACATATAGAGCACATTTTTTCATATCTTTGGTTTATACAAAGTATATTCACACCAATTTGTGTCTTCATACATGTACTTTGGATAATGATGACTATCACATTCCACCACCATTTCTAACCCCCTGCCCCCTCCTTTCCCCTCCCACTCCTCTGCCCTATCTAGAGTTCATCTATTCCTCCCATGTTCCCCCTCCCTTCCCCACTATGAATCAGCCTCCTATATCAGAGAAAACATTTGGCATTTGATGTTTAGGATTGGCTAATTATATTTTAGCATTATCTCCTCCAACTCCATCCATTTACCTGCAAATGCCATGATTTTATTCTCTTTTAGAGCTGAGTAATATTCCATTGTGTATAAATGCCACATTTTTTTTTATCCATGTATCTACTGAAGGGCATCTGGGTTGGTTCCACAGTTTAGCTATTGTGAATTGTGCTGCTATAAACATTGATGTGGCTGTGTCCCTGTAGTATGCAGTTTTTAAGTCCTTTGGGTATAGATTGAGGAGAGGGATTGGGTCAAATGGTGGTTCCATACCCAGTTTTCCAAGCAATCTCCATACTGCTTTCCATATTGGCTGCA